AACATCTGCAATGAATGGGTGCACAGTCAGTGTGCTGAGGGCATGACGGACCAATATTGCACCTTCATGGCCCGCTACCCATGCACATGGTTCTAGTACATCTGCCCACAGTGCCGTATAAGGCCACTCTCTTCTACAGGGTCGCTAGAAGAGGTCGTAAAAGACACCGCAGTGGCTACTGTGGTGCTGGCACCCGCGCGGACCACTACCCCAGTTCCAAGTGGTAAGAGTGTCAACACTGCTCCCCGGACAGTCAAACCGGTGAGTGGTCCAGAAAGACCCTAACAACAGCCGTGTGCTCGACCAACTACATTAGTCCCCAACCCCGAAGTCACTTTAACGGCTAACCCGACTTTACATCGGGAAAAATGGGTGACATTGGAAAAAAAGGTGCACCCTTCCGATAAAAACCACCCGTAGTACACGAAAACAGAAGAGCTGGTGACAGACTGAACTCTACCATCTTACCTAACGTCTCCATGTGCCATGATAACCTTCTTGAGAACAGCAAAGGGAAACCGTATACTTAATGCTAGGATCGGGCAGCCTAGAAGCAAAGCTGTGCCAGCTCTACAAAGGCAACTACTCACTTCAGGGAAAGCCTCCGCCGATGGGAGTGACCCTGGGCTCGGCTAAGGAGGCACGAGGGTTCTTGTTGGTGTCACATATACTAGCCATGAACAGATCATCCGGCATTAGAGCCAGACCAGACCATCCTTGGTCAGCAAGAAAAGTATCTCGCGAGGCACCCCAAATGCTGAGACCAGCAACCATGGTTGTCCACGGCATACCTGAAATAACCACCGACACAGCGGTAGAAAAGCATGCTCACAACGCCCAGCAGTGGCAGCGGTTATCAACTGGGATGGGGCTAAGTGGGATAGCAGCGGCGGCGGTTTGCGGACCGCCACGTCCCCTACATTTGACGGCGATAACGTCGCCCCGGTTGATGGCTGTTAATTTCGGCTGTAGAGAACTTTTAACCAGTGTACTACAAGCTTGGTACACAGTAAAAGATAACATCAGTGGGAACGTTCACCGCCGTGAAAGCAGGCCCAAGACACTGTGACAACAGCAAATGACAGCTCCACCCAGTGCTGGAGTCACCATCACTGCCAACAGATAAGGTGTAGAAACAAGCCTAGACTCTGCGAATCCTCCGGAAACCATTGCGGGGAAAAACGCGATTGGGCCGGTTCCACAGGAGCTAGCCGTCATACAGCAAATCTCGTCACTACGCACAACCCCCTTCAGTCTGCTGACACCAAGATACCCTATGTCTTTAAAATTATATACAAGTATCTTCATAGTAATGTGGCGGGGGCTTAGAAGTAAGATGGGAGAATTGCAATCCCTCTGCTCCTGCCTCGCCCAAGTGATCATAATCCTAACAGAAACTTGGTTATCACCGGATGTTAGTGACATCGAAACTAGTATGGAGGGTACGCGTCTGTCCAGGAGAGGCAGGGAGCTTAAGGAAGGAGGCGGAGTGGCGATACTCATAGGTGGTGACCTTAAAAGTAAACGAGCAACTGAAACTCTACTTTTAGGGCTCCCAGACTCCATCTGGTGTCAATTTAAGGTTGGACACACCAAGTACCTGGAGAGAGGCGTCTAAAGAACTCCTACTAGCAACATGGAAGATAACCGACAACTGCTGCAAGTAATGTTCGGAGCGACGTCCATCGGATATGACCAGGTCATTTTAGCCAGTGAATTTAATGCTCCGACTCAATCTCGAGCACGACAGGGGAACTTCAAGCCGAAGGTTCGGCCGAAACCTACTCAACACTGTCCAAATGGCTGGACTGCACGAGAATATTGGTGGTGACACTCGTTGGGGGTCGGGCGAAAAGCCGTCCAAACTGGACTGCCTTTTTACCAGTGGCCACCTGCAGGTGGAAAATGTGCAGGTTGAAACCCCCCCTAGGCAGCAGCGATCACAGCGTGGTAGTTTTCTATCTGATACTCAATGAACAGCTGTCATTGGAGGGATCGCGCCCTTATCTTTGCTACAGCAAGGCAAACTAAGCCGCGATGAACCAATGCCTGTCGACAGCACTATGGCCTTGGGAGCGGAACAACCCGTCGACTGATCAAGGTTGGGAACTAGTTAGAGATATCAACAAGAAGGCCATCTCTAAAAACGTCTCAGTAATCTCAGCAATATCACGGAAGCGAACCTCATGGTTGAAGAGAGGCCCTGAAAGCCTTTTGAAAGCCAAGAGGAAAGCATGGCACAAATGGAGGACCTCTAGAAAAGAGTCTGACCACACCGCGGATATTGCCTGGAGAAATCGGTGTGACATCAGGGTGAGGGGAGAGAGAAGGTCATTCCAGACGAACCTTGCCCAGAAGCTCGAGGAGAACCGGAAAGACCTATATCGATTTGTGGCAGGCAGAAAATCCACCAGCAAGGGGGCTTGCGTCCCGAAAGGCCTAAACGGAAAGAACATCTCCGGACTGCAGATCGCTGAAGCGTTTAGCACCACCTTCGATACGCAACTGAATACGTCTCTATCGAACCGAAATTACCAACCGTCCGACTAACATTCAGCACCATTAAATGCAGCAGAGTTACCTGAATTAAAGTTAACTCCTGCTATGGTCTTTGAAAAGCCATCAGAACTTTAGTTAGGGGAATCACCATGGTGTAATGATATCCAACCAGCTGTGTTGAACCAAAGCACGGGTGCCCTGCGCGGTCCGTTGTGTTATCTGTTTCAACACTCCTTAGACAATTATATGCTTCCACGAGAGTGGAAAAGTGCTTTTCTGTCTCCCATCTTCAAAGGAGGAGACAGGCAGAACCCAAAATGCTACCGACTCATAGCCCTTCTACCAGTGATGTCAATAGTAATCGGCGGCCTGGTAGACGACCATGTCAGGGAGCGCTTAGAAAAGAGAGGAACACTTAGTGACGCCCAACATGGTTCCAGAAAGGGTAGGTCCTGTGCCTCAAACATTCTGGCGGCAGGTGATAAGTGGACGGCAGGCTGGGACCTCCAACTTCCTGTCCATGTCATTTTCCTGGACTTTGCTAGGGCCTTCGACACAATCCCACGTACCATTCTTGTTCACAAAATAGAAGGGTTGGGCATCAAGGAACAAGCGCTTCCATGGTTACAGGACTATCTAAACGGTAGACAGTTCTGCACAAAAGACAACAGAGTTTGCTCGACCCGGAGGATATCACCATCTGGTGCATCAAAAGGGGCGATTCTGGGTCCAATGCCATTCCTTCTTTTGTGAACCACCTCCCACTGAATCTCAGCTCCCCAAGTCTACTTCACGCTGATGATGTTAAGTTGTGGGGAGCCATGACACCGGTAACAGAATCAAGCGCACTGCAAAGTGACCTCAGATTACTGGCAGAGTGGGTGGATATTAACGGACTTGCATTTAACCTAGATAGATGCCGAACAATGCTTCTCCACACCCCAGACTCTCAGAAGGTACCCTACTCTCTCTGTGAAACACAACTCTCCCACACCACCACGAAGAAAGACCTAGGACTAATACCGACCAACAAACTAGACACTAGCTCCAATTATCTAGGAGATGCCTCCAAAGCCTACACAGTACTGCACTTCATGCTCAGACGGTTTGGTGCCCTGACCCCACAACTCCTTTTGAAGCTGCATAAGACCTATACACGACCCCACCTAGAGGCACACAACATCATCGCACCACCATGTCTGAAAAGAGATGTGAACTTCCCAGAGAAAGTCCAAAGTTGAGCTACAAAAGGCGTCGTGGGTATGAGGCGTAAACCATATCAGGACAGGCCGATGGATCTAGGGCTCTACTCCCCAGGCCACCGTAGATTACGTTGTGGCTTGACAACGGCTTACAAGACACTCAGCAACCAAAGTCATCTGAACAGTGGAATCCTACCGAACGGCTACTTTGACGATCCTCGTGGTAACCCAGGGAGGATTGCCCACCAAAGAGCGAAAACCCGTGTGCGATCACACTTCCTCTCCCTGCGAGTTTGCGGTCACTGGAACGCATTGCCTGCCAAGAATGCTGCCGCTCCGTCTGTTGACAGCTTCAAGAAGAGGTTGGGCAGTTAAGCAACTACGCATGGTTTGCGCTCATCCAACTGGGATGTGGACTGGGCTGACACAACCTACTATTTCGGCACGGCCAATGGTTACTGAATGCTTTGTTAACCCACTATTACTGGGAGCTTGGCTTAACCTTATGACTCCCTATGGACGTTCCCCCCACGGTTACCGTCTCCTACTAAAAGACTTACCATGTTCCCATTCGTCCAACAATGTTTTTTATCCTTCTCCCCTCTGAAGTTCCTTTCTCAGACTTTAACAAAAGCTCTCCCTATCACCTGTTTCCCATAAACCTGCCTACTTTTCTTCTCACGCGCCGTTTCCTTTTTCCCAATCTTTTTGTTATTTTTCTTTCCTTTTCCTTTTCTTTTTCTGTTTTGTCTCTCTCTGTACTTTCTCTCCCTTGATTTCTCCGCACATACTTTTCATCTCCTTCTTACAACCAGTCCGACCGGTTGTCTGCTGGCACGATACTTGAGGAACCTATCTGCACCACAGTCCTCGAAACAAAAAATAAACAACACTCCCTACAAATTTAATCAACACCCAACCGCCCGTTGGGCTAACCAGAGCTACAGCAGCCGAGTGGGTAGACCTACTGCATTGGAATCCACCAAAGACCTGGGACTGTCCCGCAAGACCTAGAAGTGAGCGCGAAGAAATCGGTTGGTTTACACTAGCTAGTGAAAAGATATTGGATATTGGATGCTCGCACTATCAATATTGGATATTGAGTAAAAGGCGTTCAGTGAACGAAAAGAACGGAGCCTCAAGACTCACTTGCGAGAGGTCAGAAAGTACAAGTTTTCTCTACTCGTACTTTTGATGTTGGATAATAAGTTGTAGGTTTGTTAAGATACGCTATTTGTTGTTTACCTTGAAATGACCGCGGTTTCATATTAAGGTTTATTGAGGAAATACGATATAGGGATGCTGTCATCAGTTATCTTTCTGTCTATATTGGAAATATTTAGAGAATGTATGTCTTTATTATAGTTTTAATTCATGAAGCGTACTCTATGGAGTGTTATGTGTGTAGGAATCAGGAAGGTAACAAAGATAAGTGCATAAAAACTACAATGCAATGTCTTGAAGATGAGCACTCGTGCATAACAAATATATCGTACACAAGTAAGTTGAAAGTAAAACTTAAAAGTAATATACTTGCTCGTTTACTGGGGCGGATAATGTTCAGGGTGATTTGTATTTAAATACCCAGTCAATATTTTCCCTGGCAGAACAAGGGAGCGTGCTCGAGACTGCAATAAAAATACAGGATAAAACGCGGGATTGCGCTTCGTTTTTCTGAGTTTTTGACCCGCGTGTTCTGCCCCACCTTCCCCCACGAAATGCCCCTGTGTTTTTCCGATTTCCCCGCGATTTTTCGGATTAGCCGTTCTTTTTATTTCATTTAGCCTAGTGCGTTTGCTCCCTTTCCGCCCATTTAGCTAAGGTTTGTCCTCCAATCCATTACTCTTGAAGGGCCACTTGTTCACACCAAATAATGTATTTGTTCTCTTTCACGTGGGCAGAATTATCACTGGACAGTTGCATTTCCGTCAATAATCCATACCCTACATGAATACATAGGAACTACTAGTGCCAAAAAGTAAAGTTTCACACCAATAAACATTTATTACGAAACTTAAAACCTACATAATAGCTTCTTACAACAGGGTTGCGTCATTTCTTCGGAAATGCTTCCTTCAACGACGTTGGGCATCGGAATCTGAAGAGAACTACTGTCTTGGTTTTTCCCGCTCTAAAAGTGAATGCAACATAGATAATAAGTTGAGCTTACCTTGGTTGACAGCTTTCTCCTTATTCTTCCACTTTCACGGTCTCTTAGGTTGTAGAACCAATCTTTCTTAAATTTTCTGTAATTACTATCGAAGTTGCTGGCACCTACGGGTTTCGTTATTTGGAAATCCTTAATTGTTCCTGAGAAATACCAACTTAGTTCGAACGGTCATTTCCATCTGTGTATGTTTTATGCCTTTCTTTGATTTCGTACCAGCCCTAGCGTTGGAAGATATGTCGCAACATTGCAATCAGTGTTATCTTCATATTACTGGAGTTGAGGTTGTACAATTCTGCATACTACAAGAGTGGGTCTGTATATTATCACAACTTACGAAGCTATTACAGAAGTCTTCTCCGAACTTTATTTCCAGTGTTTGCCATTATAATGGCAAGAAAACTGCAAACTGGAGAACCAAACCCGAAGAACTAAATGCTAGAGATGAGAAGGTATCAGTTTCCTCTGCTTAATCGTTTGATGTTGGTTGACAATGTATGTATGTGTAATATACATATACATGTGAATGAATGATGTGAAATTCATGTTTTTCTTGAAGTATATAACTTAATCGTGTTGTGATGGAAACTGAAAAAATCAATCCATAGATTCGTTTCATATAAACATGGTGGGCCAATGAACACCAGGAAAATACCTTTGAAGGTAATTAAGATAACATATTTAAGGTAATGACGTAAAGGGTTGGTAATGTTAGTTAATAACGACGTCATACCAACGAACTTCTAAATAACTGTAATAAACCAGTCATAACCAGAGGGTTTTCATCAGTCACATCAAGGTAGGTTGTAGGCCCTGTCTTACCCGCTAACATTCAGATTTGTTTGAGGATAGAAGGCTGTGAGCCTATAATAATCCTTTTCCGGCAGATTTCTTTGCTTGTCCAATCCCCTTTTAAACAACTCAGTTGATGATGCGAACACCACTTCTTGAAGTCTGTTCCAGGAGTTGACTACTTGACGCGATAACCAGTACTCCACGGAGACTATGTTCGTTCTTTGCCTTTGTATCCTCCTATTATGTCCTCTGAGGTGTCCTGACCTAGTGGGAAGGAAAAGAGAAGGTAGATCAGGTCTGGAGTCATTTCTTAGGATCCTGTATAGCATGATTAGATCTCCACTCTATGTGCAATAGGATGAAGAGAGGAGATTCAGCTCCTTAAGTCGATCTTCATAGGTCAGTCCAGTTATTGCAGGGATCATGCGACTGGCTGCCCTCTGAACTCCTTCTAGGTCTGCACCATCTTTCAGACAAGGGTTTGCCGCGCTTGAACAGTTTTCTAATTTGGACCTGACTAAGGATGTATGCAAGATGGTGAACATATAACCACCTATTTTTGTAAGCGTTCGACGCAATGCTGTGTCCTACAACTCTGAGCTGCTACCAATCGACAGTGTGCCGTGGTTTTCACATCATAACTCGCTGTTACTCCTAGGTCAATGTGGATCACTACTGACGTCTCAATTATAGAAGCAAGAAGACTGATAGAATGTTTACTTTTAATAAAAAGTTATATGAACACCTCTTAATTGCTTATAGGGATGTCGACAGGAATTCAAACCAGTTACAATAGATGTAGTCATCGAGGTAATGGTTTTGCCTGCCGTATTCTCATAAAATAAATTATTTGGACGTCGTTCATTGCTGTTGATTTGGTTGATGAATACCCGTTTCTTCCAACTGATTGAGGTTATTAGGATGATTGTTGGCTTGAAGTCACCTTACTTTATTATTTCTGTCACAGTCTTTTTCTTCACTCCGAGGCATAACAGAACTTTACCACCCGATCAAATTTCTCTACCGATTTCCTATTTTATCGTGATTATTTTCACCTGCTCCTAGATTTCATAATAAAATGTTATCTAGGGGTAGTCGTTCCTTTAAGTCACTACATTTCTTTGACTTGCAAATAACCGCATTATTCGACCAAGGAAACCCGGTTTTGTAACTTCATCAACATTTTATCCACAGATTTTGTTGCACGAAGACTTTGTTGAGTTGCATGTGGTGTGTGACCTCAAGACTATCGACTCATAAATAATATCTGTTTGCATCGAATTTCACTCCAGATTTTTGGTTTTGTTATCAAGTTTAGGGCAGTTGAGTCTATTTCCTCCAACCCTCTTTATCTTCTCAGTCCTTTGGAAGATATTTTCTATGAAAAGAAACCGTTTACTTTCAGTCAAGTGCTATATAAAATGCACTAAAAATTCGAGTGAAAATTGACTTGTATGTCAGTTGTCTGATGGGCTAATTTAAGGTTTATGTACGAATAAAGGGTATACCATCTGAGTTTACCTTCAACTTATCCAAAATATTTTAGTGGAGACCTTCGTGGTTTTGTCTTCATCTCGGCAACGGGCAATGGCATGTAGAACGCGGATTTCATCTTATCTGAAACTCTTCAGCTGGATCTACCCACAGCCCAGTGGGTGCTGTTGTTCCCATTGGGAATATATATATATCCTCACGTTGAAAACTAAATTTAAGTAGTATTCTTCGAAACCTAAGTTTTTACTTCAAAGTAAAATAGTTTACATTTTGGAGAAGGCTATATTGACACAAAAACTGAGTTAAAAGGTTTCCTTCTTTACAACATACTGCGAAATCCTTATTGTTAAGTAAGTTAATAATAATACATGTTAGTAAGTTAGAAAAGTAGAAAATGTGGTGACATCTGTTGAATTAAAATCTATTGTAACTCGTATCCGTACAAGAATGCATTCTGTAGTAACTAAACTGCATTCGTTCGACCTCAGCTGTCTTAGAATAGCCTAGATAACGGGATAGCTTCAGACGGAAAAAACCATAGTCTTTAGAAGCATGTACTTCTGCTAACATTTTTATCGTCAGTTGAAAATTATTTCATATTGGTTACTCTAAGTTCTGCGTATGTTCCCACTATCTTTCAAAACATTGTAGGATTAATGTTTTTATGGATTTCGGCTTGTTTTAAAAAAATGGTAAAAACCTAGACTACTTATTATCTTGAAAAGTTAACTATTTGTGTTGTACTATTGTTAAAAAATAAAAGCTTATGTGATCGATGATCATATCATAACAAGAGATTGTCGGTACATAAAAATTACTACATCTTTTTAGAAATTAAGTCAATAATGGAAAGATTGCAACTGTAGTATTCGGATTACAGTCTAGCGCAATAATATAATGAAAATAATTAAAAGTGGTACGTGATGATTTAGTTTGTAGTTTTGGAGTTCAGATCATTTGAAAATGCTTTTTACATTACGTTTTGGTGTTGAACCAAAAGTTGGTATCTATTTCATTCTACCAGAACTGACTATTGACTGACGAAATCAACCTAGAACCTCGAACACAAATGCAAAGCTTCAGCTTGCCACATTTCATAGCAGTACGCAAACGACAACTGGATAGAAAAAGTCTGATATCACAGAAGGCAAAGTTGTGTAAGAGAAAAAAACCTAAAGATATCCGTTAGTACAAATATTCAAGCTTTTGAAGACGTCAAAAGGTGAATATATCTGCGCCATTGTGACCAAGTTCCAACCATGTCACCAAGTGTCAGTCTTCAACCACTGATTTCTATCGTCTCGACAACCCCAACTATGCAGTCTACATCTCCGGAAATACGTCTTCGTCTGCCCACCCTTGAACCCTCTTCCAACCTAATCCAAATTACTGTAGCATGACACGTCAAGATAGGAGGTGGCTAGGCACATGCATTGCATGTCCAAGCCATCTCAGTCGACTAAGGTTCACAACCTCATCAGTCAACTTGCCTGTCTTCCTTAATACCCTTCTCCTGACCCCAACATTGCCCATATGATTATTCCACCAAACGCCGGCAATGTTACCAAGACACTTGTGACCGCTTCATGTCTTCTACTTTCCATGGCCATGTCACAGCTGCAAAACAGGTCAGGATGGTCTGCAATGTAGTATACTTGAACTTTGATTGATAGTCGGATAACTTGCCAGTCAGTGACACAGATGACGCAAGTTAGGAAGTGCCAAGTGAGCCTTCTGTATCCGAGTTGAGATTTCGTCAGAAACCACCCTATTCGGACCGATGTAACTCGCCAAGTAAGTGAAGTGGTCGAAACATTCCACAACTTCACGCCCTACCATTAAATTTGAAGTACTTGTAGCAGACCGGTTCTGGAGTATCATCTTACATTAGACAAGTACGAAACCCACGCAAAACATTCAAATTTCTGCTCAACATGGTCAGAAGGCTGGATTTTGTCAGCATCTTCGCCTAACAAGACGGTGTTGTCTGTGTACTCAAAGTCAGCCAGATGGTCTCCATGCAGTAGGTCAATCGCCGTGAAGTCAGTGGCACCTAAAGTTGTGTACATTAATACATCTACGAAGCTGAACTGAAAATCGGGAAAGTGCGCTTTCCTGACAGGGACCACTAGTTGTCATCAATTCACATGATGATTGAACATAAGCCCTGTAGACTATAGTTTCTCTTTCTCTTTGTCTGAATCAATGGTAAGTAATGATGTTGTTTCACTGAAAAATGTTTAGTGTTCGTAAGTGAATTTCTTGAACGTGATCACACGTTGATAGGCAGATCTTATATGAACCTCAGCATCATCATCGAAGCACTCAGATTTGTTTAAATTCGACACTTCATGTTTAGCGGAAAATTATGTCAACAAACAAATGAAGTTGCAAATGGATTCTCCGGTGTTCCCTATCGTTGCAAACCTCTTCATGTCTTATACTGAATCTATAATCTTCGCTAATCCCTTCAAACCACTTAATGATGATACATCTGTCATTTTAAAGAGATCTATCTCCGGAACCTTTTCTTACTTAATGAATACTCCTTCTCCCCATATTAAATTCACATGTAAATATGAAGATACAAATGATGAACTACCATTTTTAAACTATTTAATCAAAAGGAAAGGAAATGGAAGGCCTCTTTCTTTGCCTTGGCCATCTGTATAGCTCATTTATTACAACAAGACTCTTCATTTCATCCACCACACAATTCACTATAACTAGTATTTCAATAGCTCCATTATTATTATTATTATTATTATTATTATTACAGACTTAATCATCTTCCTCTCCCCCTACTGTCTCTAATTACCGTCAACAATTTACCATTTTACGTAACAGTTCATTTTTGCTCTTTAGTTATCATTATATAAAATATCAATTATGTAAGAACCTGTTCACAAAATCTTCCTACGATAATTAATCTTTGCTTGAGTTAACTGTCTTAATTACCTGACCAATTATCACCTTCTTGAAACTTTGAGATTGGTAACCTTTCACTGAACAACTCTCACCACTAGATTGGTATGTAATTTTACGTTTGAAAATGCTACATATTAGTGTAGAGCCATTGATGAGGAACTAATTGAAAAGAAATATTTCTTCGCTCACATTGTTTGTTTTACTAAATGTCTAAATGGGAATTTTTGCATTAGCGAATGAAAAAGACAGACAAACAGAAGTAAGAAACATATTAGATGCGTTGCATTCCAATAACTACCTTAAGAATACCGTTCAAAAAAATGAGATGGATCCAAAAGGAAAATCAAATAATAATTCCTGGATTAGCACAATAGTTCCACCATTTTGCTGAGGTACAACTGAAGAGTTATAAAGGATCTTAAGTAAACACCGAATTATAGCCTTCTAAAAGACAACCAACACTCAGGAATGCTTTAATCCACTTAAGAGATAAAGTTCCTTTTACGTCCGCGCATAACTGCTTTTACAGATTAGTCTGCATCGCCAGTGGGGAGTCGTCCATCGCGTAAGATCCTCATTCATACTAAGGAACATGGAAGTTACACAAAATGAATGTCAAATACTCATGTAGAACTGGAGGGTTTACAAATCAAGTCAGCAATCACTTTTCATGCAATCTATCACAGTCACGAAATGAGAATTAAAAGTATTAAAATTATTCATCAAAACAGTTTTTCAAACTACAAGGAAAGATGGATAACTGAGACATTTTACATTATGTTGAAACCTAATGCAGTCAACAGAAAGGAGGGCATAAATGTTCAACCAATTTGAATAGTGTTTCCGAAATAACACGTCATGCACAATAATCACAGCAAAAGTACGCATACACAAACAAACCAAATTCATGAAGAAATGTCTTTTTCTCACACATTCAAGCCCGTTCACATCTTCGCCTTGACCTCCAGACTAATAATGGATAACAGCGACATTTATACCCATATTATTATCATGTATGAACAAGGTGATCTGATTTGTCGCCATTTACTATCTAAGCATTCAATAACTTCAACAGGTTTTGTTCTCTGAAGAAACGATTTCCACAAAGTCGCGAAACATCGGAAATTTATTTTTCTGCAGTTTCAAACGCTGCTTCACCTACTCAGATTCGGACAGCCATGTGGTATCGTTAGCCCTCACGCAGTAGCTGTGGCACATCGCCTACTAGATGAAAAGGAACATGGTTGCTGAGTGCGTTCCAACCTTCTGTAGGACCTGTTGTAGTAACCTTTTCATGAAGTTTTCAAACTGGATTGCTTTTACTTCACTGATTGGAAAATTGCTCTTGCATTAGCTAAGTGCGCAAACCGTCAGTATGATTAGTCCCTAGAGGGGAATCAATTTGGCCTAGTTTCTTTTGCAAGTACGCCATTTATTACCATATATAAACGGGTAGAATATGCAGACAAATATAATTTTAATTGTGATGTAATTAATTATAGCCTGAGTTAATAATGTCTGTTACTTTCCGTGATATTGTCCCCTTTATAGTTCCTCCATACTGGTCACCGATGGGAGAACGTACTCACTTTTTATGGAAGGCTTGTATTTCTACAGAGGAATGTGAACGGCAGAAGAAAATCGCTGGGAAAACTTGTCAACGTGAATGGTATATGGATTGGAGATGTGTAGAATGTTGTCAAGGTGAACTGTGTAATTATTATGCTACAGTAAGTTAGTTGTATTCGAGGTATTTGAGCTCAGTTGCAGTGTGGTCTGTTTTCACATTGATACCGAGAGTATTCGAGTGTTGGTTTAATAGCTGCCTAACTTATTTGCGTTATCATACGAGAACATTAGTATATAACTGGTTAGTATGCCGAGTAGCTTGTATTAATCCTAGCAGTAGAAATCTCTGTGGAGATCCAGTTTCTCATTGAAAGCGTTCACTGAAGGAGTAGCTACCAAGAGTTTCGGTAGTAAGTTCCGTTTGTTAACCACCTTGGTACGGGATCTGAGGTCTACCCGTGGTTTATTCGATTAGTCCTAGTAGGAGTAAAAAGATTAGAGTTACATTATTCATGATACGATATGCTGATATAAAATCTTCCGTTTTCCTAATATTAAATGATGGGGAAAGATTCAAACTTTTCTACCGCTTTTCATAGAGAAGATACAAACGTCCTCTCACCAACTCTTTACCTGCTCTAGTATATCTGCTTCTTGTTTGAAGCAAGCACTAGCTGCGTATGTGCAGCATTTCCAGATAAGGTCTTACATAAGTAGGATAGAGTATCCTAAATATTTCTTAATGGAAGCACTTAGAAGCCCCACAGAGCGACTATGACATGCGGAATGTCTTGGCTAAAGCGACATTATGGTGCGATGTTGTTTTCAAATTACGACTGATAACGACCTCTGGATCTCTTTTTTCCCTGATGCAAGCCAATATTGATCTATCTAATGAGTAAGTGTAGTAGAACTCTTGACCAATATGAATTACTGCACTTCTGTTAGAGTTGATTTTCAGGCTTCAGCGTTTAGGGTCAAATCATCTCAGTCTGAAATGCCATTCTACCATCATTATCACCCCCCAAAACGTTGCATCATCTGTAAATATCAAGGATGATAATATATACACGCCTGGTAATACATTTCAATAGAGCTTGAACGAAAGAGGCCCAGGTACGGTGCCTGGAGGAACGGCGTTCGTAACCGGTTTCCAGTTGCATAGTACTCCATTAACGCTGGTCCTTTGTTTCCTATCATGCAGGTAGTATCTAAAACATTCACGTCTGTTGACTTCTATACCAAAATCTACGAGCTTCCCAGCAAACTCAAGTGGGGAACTTTATCAAATGCCTTGCTAAAATCAATGAACATCACGCCCACAGACAATTTATCTCTTGCTTCCATCCATATTTCCCTGAGTAGAAGCAAGTTCGTTTGGCATGAGCATTTGGGTCGGAAGCCGCGCTGCTCTTGTCCCAGTAACCCATGTATTTTCATGTGATCCAGGAATTTATCCCTGACTATTTTATCCAATACTTTCACCACAAGTTAGGAACTGGTTGCCGATAACCATCCTAGAAAATGGGGTATACTACAGCATCTTTTCACTCTCTAGGTAACCGGGTCTGGGAAAGAGACAAGTTGAATATATTTGTTAGAGATTCGTCGATAATCTCAGCCGAAGTCAGTAACAGTCCCAGGTGTAAACCGTCAGGAGCCGGCAACTTACCAGGTTTCAGATTATTTAGCAATCTGAGCATTTAATTCGGGGGTTTGTGGGATTTATTTTTTAAAAGTTGGTATTCATCATAGACTGATATCAGTTGGAGGAACATTGGAAACGTGGGAGCATTGGACAGCTGTTTTGTCCTAGTATGGGACCCCTCAGTAGTGCACACTCATGACCCTACCTCACCAGCGATTGAACCAAGGACGTTAGCATTGATCCACTGGGTCGGAATCTAACGTTCCATATTTCCAACTTCAATATCCACCGAAATAGGAACCATTTGCGGGAAGTTAACTATGACTGTGCTCAACATTCGTGTATATGTAACACTCTCGAGCGTTGTCTTAAATTTCTCCTAAGCCTTTTCAACAGTCCAGTCTATATTTACAGATCAGTTCACTCATACTGCTATTTCCCTAATCGGTGTCAAGTCTGTACGCAAGATAAATTGGTCTGGGGGCGACTAATCCATAAACCGAGTTTTAAATTCTGAATTTGAAAGCAAGAACTAAATGTTCACTACTTGTCAGCGATGGGAGGTGCTGAAGGTCATTCACACCCTTGTACTGGTGAGTAAAGCCTAGATACAACAATGAGGGGCTCATGTTCGCGATCCACTCATGTAGGTATTAATACTCTTTGCATCAGAGCACATTCGAATGAAGTCAGTAGCAACTATGTATTGAAATAGCTACCATGAACATGTAGCTATATGTTCTTTCCTATCAACATGGGGAGCATTCTTTTCCCCCATTAATGTGCATCTAATGATGGTGCCCCACTTATGCAGGTAGCCTAGCACTAAGTTACCTGCTAGACAATTAAGATCACAATCGTTAACCCCGACAGTACCGGTACTTTGGCTTGACTTGATGTTGCGACATGCTGTTTCACATGTACCTTTGGCATACGCTGCTGACGCAGTTGAACGCAATTTAATACCTCAAATATACAGTGCTACGCGACCACCCTTAAGACTAGTAACTCTATTCCTCCTTATGCAAGTAAATCATGGTATAAGTGTTATAAGGCCCATGCCTTCTGATAACCATTATTCCGTTCATTGTAGCACGTTAGGCTTCCGATCTTCGACTAAATCTCCCAATTGAAATAATTTATTTCTGAGGTTACGAAAGTCAGTATAACATACCTTCATGCTACTGGAGCATTCATACGGCTTATAAACAGTGAAATTGGGGAAACTTGGCTCCCAGAAAGCCCAATATTTTTAGCTGTTTTCCTCTTTTCTATCGAACCTTCAATTCGGCTACAGCTTCCCGTCTCCTCATCCTGTCTTCAACTGGCCAATCAAGACTTACTCGTATAATTTTGTTCTCAACCTTATGTGTATTTCTGAGAACGATTTCACGTTCTATGAGAGCACAACCTTCACTAGACGCCGCGTACTATCAACTGTTTTCACTTCCCACTTGCCTAATCTCAACACCTTTTTCATATTTACTCCCGTAGACGACTCTGGTAGAAGGTATTTGGCTTGTCGGTTCAATTCGTCTGAATGTCTCAACTTCTTCAAGTTCAGAAAGATTATACTGAAGTCTGCATAACTGATGCAACACTTGCAGCTTTTGATAGTTGTTTAAAGTCTCTAAATATCTTTGCTACCAACGACGGAGTGTTGGCTGGTCTCCTTTTCTTAGAAGCAGCAGTTCTTTTAGACTGAGATGCCTGTATCCCATCCATAGTATCACCTTGATTTAAAATTACATGGTACAGCGGGTGATGATTTAGAATTACTCAATGGTGGACTGAGTGAAGTGAGAGGTTTGAGCCAATTTTCTATTTTTCCTAAGCTTACTTGAGGTTTTAAAAGTATGTGTTTGCCTGTCTATACTTATTTCAAGGACCATATGTTTTTTACTTACTTCCACTTTCTGGCTGACCTCCATTTTTTGAACTGACTTATTTTCTATGACACTGACTGTCATCATCAGACTTCAAACTCATAGTATTGTCAGTAACATTATAGGAAAGTGTCCTGGAGACCACACAGTCAACAGTCTCTTGAATCAAAGTGGCTAGTGGATTACAACAGTAATTGCATAGCTAAGGGGGATGCAGGTTCAGTGCAACGTTTATACGCTGTTTCGGGAGTTAGTCCGGCACACTACATTTTCTGTATAACTGGGGATATAAATTCTGATGGACCACATGGGGATTCCTTTCCCAACCATTTGACTTCGGACAAAAACTCAAAAAATCTATTTTTTGAACTGGAATGTTTTCAATTAAATTCGACTATGATACATTTTGATACAGAGAAAATAACAAAAGCCAAACTACTTAAAAACGTTAAAAATATCATTCTTCTGAATTCCTTAAAGTATTAAGCATCAGCGTACTGAGCCTTAACGTGGGATGTTAACTGAAATAGATTCAGGCTAGAAATTGGCAAGGAATAGCCAGATGAAGACATGATATCAGTGCATGAAATTGATAACTGTTGATTTGAGCCATCCAGGGAGATTCAGGTCTGTGTAACAGTAGGAACCGGTTGTTAGAGACTCTGGGTGATATGGCGCAGACGTATCTTCTTTTTAGTTGTCACATTATATTCCCTTGTTTCTCACTACTCCTCTCTTTCTCTCTCTTCTATTACTTTCTAATACTTTGATCAACCCTACCTTATTTCTGTACATTTCATCTTATCATTTTATTATTTGTTGTGCTGTGACATATAAGGTGGGACACTGTGGACCGTTAAACAGTAATCCCAGGTTCTATGCTGGTATTGTCGATACACGTCATGTCTGAAAAAAGGGTTACAGTGCACTTATCCGTTTAATTGCAAAGAACTGACAGTAGATTCATATGAAGAGTGATAACCTGATATCTAGTTTGAACATTGACTACTTAATGTTTTTTTCCAGAAAATGTTTGAACACAATAACTACTATAATTCATTATTTTGGCATTTGTATTTCCCTATAAGAATGTAAAAGAGAATTAATTTCTTTCAACTGACGTTTCGCTACACTTCAATGTGCTAATAGTCTTATCATACATCATATTATTATTATCATCTGTCCCTCGGGTTTCTAATGGAACATAGGGCTTCAGTAGCACGTCTCCATTCCACTCTGTTCTCTGCAATCTTTTGAACCTGGCTCCACGACTGCCCACAAGCTCTCATTTCCTCGCACGATCTCATCCATGTCACCCTCACCTCGGACGCCCAACTCGCCGTTTCCCATCTGGGTTCCACTCAACGGCCTGGCCTGGCATAACGCGTGATGTCCGCAGTTGGTTTTCTCAGTGCATGCCCAATCCATCTCCACTTCCTTCCGCATATTTGTTGAGTAATAGGTTCTTACTTAGTTGGTTCGTTGCCAGAGTTCGTTGTTGCTTATTCTTTCTGGCCACCTCATCTGAGTTTCAGTATCGAGCCAGCGTAGGCGGCAGTTGTTGATGAATATCTGTAGTTTGCTGGAAATGCTTTTCGTAACGTGCCGAGTCTCTCAACCATCACATAAAGCACTGACTTCAATGAATTGGTGTTGAAAATCCGGATCTTGTTCCACATTCTGAGTGCAGAAGATCTCCACACTGGTTTCAGGTTAATGAACATCTGTCTTGCTATCTTTCTGATCCTGGCTGGATTTGACGTCCTCATCTGTGACTGTGTTGCCTATAGTTGAAACAGTGCTTCCTAGATAGGTGAAGGAGGCTACTTCGTTTAAGTTTCTCCCGTTGATGATGACTGGAGCTTTCTGTTGTTGTTGTTGTTGTTGTCAGGGTATCTTCATCACCTCTGTCTTCTCTACGTTCACTTGAAATCTCGTCTTCGCTGTCTCACCTCTTCTGTTAACTTGTTAGTTTTCGCCTGTAGATCTGCGAGTTTGTGCGACATCAGACACAAGTCATCGGCGAAATCCAAATCTTCTAATATCTTTTCCCCGGTCCAGCCGGCATATTCCTCTTTTCTCGCTCCTCACTGTTTGCTGCATGATCTAGTCGACAACAATCAGGAAGATAATTGGTCATAGTAGGCGGCAACCTTGTTTTACTCCTGTCTTCACTTCAAAGGCATCACTGAGCTTTCCATTGTGAATTGCTTGGCATTCATCTTCTAATTATACTATGGAAATCCATGAAATGGACTAACTGTTTCTAATTATTATTCACTTTTAATTTTTAGCTATCGACAGTTCGTATGCGATTGGACAGGAATTTGATTCCTTTTTTTGTTATATTTTTTATCATTTATCATTTGTTTTATTGAACTCAGTGATTGCTGAAAGATACTGTGTATATTCATTGAAAAATAATATTTATAATGCCTTTATACGCGTATAACTTCAAATTTTCATGTATATCAATTCCTTTGTATATATTTATGCATATCTTGTGAATAGAAGCACTTCTGTTTACATTATTTTCTGTCGACAGATAAATTTTAGCCATATTATTATTATTTGTCCCTTGGGTCCCTAGTGGAACATGGAGCCTCAGTAGCATGCCTCCATTGCACTCTGTTCTCTTCAATCTTTTGAACCTGGCTCCACAACTGCCCTTAAGCTCTTATTTCTTCGTCACATGATCTCCTCCATGTGTCACCCTCGCCTCGGACATCCAGCTCGCTGTTTCCCATCTGGATTGCACTCGAGGGACTAATGTGGTGCGTGATGTCCCCGAATGGTTTTCTCAGTGCATGCCCTACCCATCTCCACTTTCTTCTGCATTTTTGTTGAGCGATAGGTTTGAATTGTAGCCATGTATATACTAAATTTAAAATGAGGAAATATACTCCTAAACAAACTATTCATGCTGTTATAAGAGTATATTTATATTTCCATACAATCGCAGCATGTTTAGAAAATCAAAACAAAATATTTCTGAACGTTTCACTATCTGAGCCACACATGAGAACAGCGAACTCAAAAAATTCAGGCAGGTTTCGGATCTTGAAATGATGGAGAATATTTGTAGCTCAGGTGTATGGTCTTGGTTGCATTGTGTCCTCTGAGCTGAGTTGTTTAGTCGTGGAGCTTTCATCATCTTACTAGACGACATAAGCAACAGCACTAATTTCAGTATAAAGTGAGCTGTCCATATCTCTTCATGACTGATTTAGTGGTCACCCTCTTCGTCTATATGAACAGCAGTTGGCTATTAAACGTCATGACATTTCAATGCACGTGGATAATTATAGAGATGTATTGAGTTTTGGACGGAGAGAGGAAACACAACGATTATCAGAGAATTCCTAGAAGCTTGGCTTTCAGGTAAGTCAGCAGTCAACAGATGTATAGACATAGACCCGATCTATCAACCAATAAGAGAAATGATAGAAGACAAAAAGGTCAAACGTCAAGCAGAGAAACAGCCAACGGGAAAATCTATGCTATCAGTCAATGACACAACGATGAAAGGAGACAACCAATCACAAAGCAGTTCGTCAGGGCAAGCTACTAAATTACTCACAGAGAGATTTTGACATCTCGCTTCATGCTGAAGTTAATGCTGATGATGTTGTCTAGCAAGATAACGAAAGCTCCATGACTAAACGACCCAGCTCAGAAAACACAGGACAACCAAGGTTTCAGATCTGGTTGAGAGTGCATCGATCGTATCCTACCCTCTGACAGGTCCCGGAATACAATTATACTTACTGGCGGTCGACACTAGCCAGGGATGCCCACTGTCATCGATCTTATTTAACTTCGTCAAAGACGTACTAGTCGATATAATCTTAGGTAAATCTAGCTTCAGAGGTATTCATTGACTTTGAAGGTCATTGGATTGATTTAGAGCACGACGAAAATGTTGTCCTGCTAGCTAGGCGAAGACACCGACTCAATGCAAGGTCTTCTGAACGCGTTCAGCGGAAATCCGAGTATGTTTGGTATGGGTTTCTCACTTATCAAGTGCAAGATGATACTCCAGAGCTGGTCTGTAATTACTCCTAATTTAAGAATAGAGAGCGAAGTAGTGGAATGCTTCGATGGCTTCGCTTGGAGATTATCATAAGTCCGAACGGCATGGTTGCTAATGAAATCTCAGCTCGAATACACAAGGCTCGTTTGGCATTTGCCAACTTGCGTCATCCATAGTGCCTACTGGCGAGTTACCTGGCCATCTATGAAAAGATGAGTATACCACGCTACCGATCGCTCTGTCCCGTTTTAAGGCTGTGAGGCAGTCATTGAAAGTAGAATCCATGAGGCGGTTACAAGGCTTTGATCACAGGTGTCTTATCAATATTGCTATACTTTAGTGGAATCGCCACATGAGGAATGTTGAGGTCAGGTATAGGATACTAGGCAAGATATTCAAGTTGGTTGACGAGGTTGTGAACCTTAGTCGACGTAGGTGATTTGGTCATGTATTGCGCATTCCAAGCCACCTCCTACCTCTACACGCCATTCTAGGGGAAGCTGGATTAAGTTGGAACAGGGTTCAGGATGGCCAGACCAACACGTAGCATCACTCGAAGTCCGTAACTGTTAGTCTCAGCGCGTTGAACACTTCACTTAACTGAGAAGTCGGATCAGCCCTGGTGCACTGGTCAGTGGCAGACGAAATCTCTGTGCGGATACAAAAATCTCGGTTGGTTTTTATCAACTCGCTCGTTCTGTGGCGCAACCACGATATCTGATTGCCTATTAAAGGTCGAGTTTACTGTGATGTGATCCGCTCCTTTCTGTATGGCTGTGAAACATAGCCATTAAATGTAGAAGACATGAGAAGACTTCAGGTGCTTGAACATTGTTGCCTTCGTATGATAGGCTGTGCTTTGGGACATCACCACGTAAGTAACGTGGAAGTCAGGCATAGAGTTTCAGGGATGAGAGGTAAGACATTTGATGTGTTTGTGAACCTTCATCGACTAAGGTTGCTGGCTGAGACATGTGTTACGTATGCCTAACCACCGTCTGCCTCGTTGCACAATGTTAGCCAAACTAGGTTAAGGCTGGAAAAAGGCTCTGGGTTGACAGACTAAAACATGGCGTCAGTGCATGAAGTCGTTCACTGTTGGTTTGAGCCACGTAGGGTGATACAGACAAGCCGATTGAGGTCCACAAGACGACGAACCAGTGGTTGGAGACTCTAGGTGATATGCATCAGAACTGATGTCAGTGGCGTAGATGCATACACACATTAACCTCACCTTAACCGCTATACTTAATCTCACCATTCCTCCTCTTTTACCACTTTCTACTTCCTTTGACCGATTTTTCTTTCCTTGGCTTGTTATTTGATATGCTGATAAGATGTGAGGCGTGGCAACTTGGACTAATACGCAGCAATACATGATCCTATGTTGATGATGATATTGGTTTGAGTCGTTCGGAGAGATGTAGATTGCCAGGTGTAGGAATCAGTGGTTAAGAAATCTTGGTAACATGGTTGAAAATTGACCACTTTGGCACAGATCTACTCACTCCTTGTTGTCATCTGCGGCTTCAATATTTGCACTAACCTTTATCTTCAGACTGTTTATTCTCTTGAGATGTAAGAGTTTTAGAAATTCCCATCATGTAAATTAGAACAAGGCATATATGGGCGAACGATATTGTTTTCAGTTAGGTCCTCTTCAGGCTTTAATACAAATAGCTTAAAATATATATATATATATATATATATATATATATATATATAAAGTTAAACCAATGATGTAGATTTGTCAGTTAATGCGTGTGATAAATGTTTTGAAATAACGATGGTGATAATGATACAAATAATTGCAACCAACTAAATTATAAGAATTCACTAAGCTCATTTGTTTATTTTTGGTTATGATGATGATAATCCACTAATTCGAGACGCTTCTTTTTATAAGGATCACTGAAACTTTCTATGGAATAGCATATGTGTTCAGAGATAAAACAGGAATATTTGCTGGTAGATAGCGGATTTCGCTACCTGGGGTGAGTGAAGTAAACTCTAAATCGTTCTTGTCAGTCATATGCTTATGATAAAGTCTTCATAAAGCATGAGAATTTCACCGTCTAATATGCATCAAGTCTTTTTCTACCGCCCACTACCAGTTTTCTGTTGTAATAGCTATCATCTAGCAAGAAGCTGTAACTCATTGGTTTAGGTAGATGACTTTCAATCACTGAGTCATGAGGTTTAAGCTTTATTTCACCTGTCAAGGTTAAAGCTCTATCATTTAAAAAACATACGATTTTTTCACATCAGATGTACATTAAAGTTGTCAACTGAATGATTTATTTCCTTATAACTCTCATATTCTGTCAATGGACAAAATTTAGGTACATATGACTTTTAAGTGAAGAATATTGTTTTCAATTAGATCCTCTTCAGGCTTTACTCTAATACAGATAGCTTATCATTTGACTATCTGAGATAACCATTGCTTGGCAGACTAGTATTTATACTGGATGATGATTGAATGTGAGATGAAAATCTGGACCGCGGCCGGATTCGAACCGGCAAATACGGGTTGGAATCCGGCCGCGGTCCAGATTTTCATCTCACCTTCAATTATCACCCAGTACAAATAGCTTTATATATATATATATATATATATATATATATATATATATATATATATATATATATATATATATATATATATATGTAAACCAATCACGTAGATTTGTCTGTTGATGTATTAAATGCTTTAAAATAACGACAACGATATTAGTACAAATAAAAATAATGATAAAAGTGATAACGTTGAATAAAGCACATACAATATTGATGATGATGATAAGAACCAAGAGAGCAGTATGAAAATGTAGACACGCCGATAATAAACGTGGGTGAAAAGCCTACTTGGGAAAATAGAAGTTACGTAATACTGAAAGACGAGCTATGTGGATAAAGAAAGCCTAGACAAACACAATACGTATATGACAGGAGTGAAGAACAAGAAAAGGAGTAGGAAAAGAAAACTGAATGATGAAGTTATTGACTAATTATTCCCTGACCAAGAGAGAGATAAGGGATGTACAAATTTCTTCTGGATACAAAGACTAGGATTATTAGCTCGAATTCCCACAGCTTCTGCTATGTGTAAAAGACGAGTTTGAATACATTTCGAAAGATAAGATGGTATGAGATGAATGATCGTGAAAGCATTATTATCTACCAAGTGACCACTATCAACAAAGTGAGATAAAACCGAGCTCCCGATGGATTTTATCTGTCTGTTTCCCAACCATGAAGGTAGATGCTCAGCAACACGTTTGTTAAGTTGTCTAATAGTTTGCCGTATACGGCTTTCTTCACAAGAGCAGCTAAACTTGTAAA